GTTTAGATTTCTTTCATCTGCATTTGGAGTGATTAATGAGTAAGGATTCGATAATATGTTTTTTAAAGGCGTGACGTTTTATATTCAGTATCAGTATTCAATGAGTATTTGTTTGAAAAATAAATCAAATTGATTAACGAAACTTCTAACTGACATTTATTGTTATTGTTTTCATAAATTTTTATCATTTTTTCTTCGTATGACTATTTTGTTTCAAACAAGATGCAGAGAATTGAATTGATCTTATAGCTTTATAGAAGTCTTCTCACAGATTGTCCTTTACAATTTTATAAATAATATTCAGTTGGAAAGAGTCATTCAAATTATGAAAGATCTTTTTTGAAACATTATTGTTTTTCTACTTAAAAACAAACCTATTTTTTAAAGGTCTTTATTTATCATAATATTCAAAATATCTTTAACTCGCACTTCTCATTAACTCGGATTAGAGCGATGTGAGAGTTGATTTATTGATAAAGCTAACTGAGATAGATCTAACGTTTTAGCTTTCCTTTTTCAATCTTTCATAGATTGTCATTGGAAAACAGGTTTGGATATGATCAAATATGTAGAATCTTAATTATCAAATGAAAAAATAAAAATAGAAACAAACAAAAATTAAGCGTAAAACATTGTGTCAACACAAATGTCAGAGTTATATTAAAGATCAATCATTCTAGAACATATTTTTAAAGATCTTTGTGCAGTTTAATTATATGTGAAAGATTTTAAACAGTGTCTATATGATCGAGTGTCTACCACGTATACGTTGAGTATCTTAAAACTGTTAAAACAATTTCCACTCTTTCTAAACTGTGCTGATCTAATATCATCTCCAATAATCGATATTCATCATTGATTAACGAGCATATATATATCTATAAAGAGTATAGCAGAAGTTCTGAAGTAATTTTAAAATTTCCTGTCCTTACATAAATCAAAAGTAAGCTCATTACAAATTTGCAAAATAGTTCAAGCTACTGACTTGTAAATAAATGTGAAGTTTCGTGTCTATAGTTTATAAAATGGATGAGAAACTTGAATAAGATTCTAATGCACTATTTTATCAATTTTCTTGATATTTTTACGAAATGGTTTTAAATCGAAAGAATTTATTGAAATAAAAATAAGAATATATGGATTTGGTAATATTTCGTGGATTTAAATAGCATTATAACCAATGATTAATATTGATGTCGCTGGTATTTTATTTATCATCGGTTTATATAAAGGAATATTAAATATTTTCCTTCATCTTTAATCTTTATTATTGTGTTTTAGTTGTTCAATATAATTCAAATCTTGTCATCATTATTTTTTTTTTAATAGACAATAAATGTTTCCTACGAACCAAACATCGGCTACTTTTGCATAACAAGGATTTGTGTTCAATTAAATTGGTAAAAACATATAGAGAAGTATAGAAAATTCATCTAAATCGTTTGCTTATGAAGTTGATCATGACGAAAAATTTGATTTGGCAAATGATCTAATTCATTATCTACTATATATTCTACGATAGTTTGAAAGAATTTTCCATATCTCTGATTAGTCAAATATATTCTCGTACGATGATCAACACTTTATTGTCTAATCAATTTCAATCATTTATCAATGAAACTCAATAGTTGTTTAGCAAGTTTATCAATTGAAATTGTTCAAAAATAGGTCAATAAGTGTCTATGATAATGCTTCTACAGTTTCTCACTCATTGTAAAAAATATAGACTCGAAACTGCATTTATTTACTACGTTGGAAGTAGCTTGAACCATTTGTCAAATTTGTAAAGAGCTTACTTATGATTTATGTAAGAATGAGAAATTTTAAAATAATTTCGTAACATTAAAGACAGCCTTCATATATATATATATACATGTGCTTGTTCATCAATAATAAAAACCTATTATTGGAAACCTTATTAGGTGAAAATAGTTTAAAAAAGATGAAAATTTGAACGCATACGTGCTATATACTGGATAAAATGGTTGACATTGTAATAGTATATATTTAGTTAATTGGTAATGAGTCGTATTGTTATTGTGATAAATGCAAACGTGTAATTGATCGTAATAATGGAACTGAAATCAAATTCAACAATAGATTTTATCATGTTGACTGTTTTACATGTGTTATTTGTAATGGAAATCTTAATAATTCAATAAATAGTAAATATAAAGTTCATGATAATGGAGAAGCTATATGTTCAGTATGTGAATTAGCACAAGCTAAAATATGTTATGTTTGTCGAGAACCTATTCTTAGTCAAGAATCAATTATTTTCGATGAAAAAAATTATCATAAAAATTGTTTTTATTGTGCTCAATGTCATAAATCATTGATTGATGAAAAAGATTTACGAAAACATAATTTAAAAGCCTGTTGTATTCAATGTTATAATGAACAGTTTGCACCACGATGTGAACAATGTTTTGAAGTGATATCTACTGGAAAATCTACTGTTTACAATGGAAAAAAATATCATCCAGATTGTTTTCGATGTAATCAATGTAATAAAGTAATAATGAATAGTGAATTTTCAATAAATAATTCAAAATTTTATTGTCTTGAATGTTACAATGAACATTTTCTACCGAAATGTCTACAATGCTTCAAACCAATTTTAAATGGAAAATTGATTAGTTATAATGATAAAACTTATCATCAAGATTGTTTTCGATGTGATCAATGTAATAAAATCATAATTGATATGGAATTTTCAACACAGAATTCAAAACGTTATTGTATTCAATGTTATAATGAATATTTTGCACCTAAATGTGCTCAATGCTTTAAATCAATATCTGTTGGAAAATCAATAATTTATAATGAAAAAACTTATCATTCAGATTGTTTTCGTTGTAATCAATGTGATAAAATAATAATTGATTCAAAATTTCAAGTAGAAAATTCGAAACCTTGTTGTATTCAATGTTACAATGAATATTTTAAACCACGATGTTCAAAGTGTTTAAGACCTATAATTGATAAATATAGAACATTTAAAGGGAAAAATTTTCACATTGATTGTTTTCAGTGTATGAAATGTCATCGTATAATTAACAATGGAGAAAATTTTTACAATGATCAACATGATATTCTATGTTCAACCTGTGCTATATAATAATATATTATTTAAAATACTTTTCAAATCTTATTTTTTTTACTCAAACAAATTCATTTTTTTTATTTTAATCAATTTTCATCTTTTTTATTTCATATTAATTCATATTAGAAATATTTTATTCAAGAAACTTGAAAAATAAATATCAACTTATTTTCAAATGATATTTTGACATTATTCATGAAAAAGAAATGCAATTTGAAATGATGGGACGAATATTTTCAATAATTCAATTTAATCAGTAGTGTCAAACTTGAAAGATGAAAGTTGAAGAGTACTTTTTCAATTGAATTTAACTGTCAACTTTGACACTATTGACATAATCGAAGCTCGTGAGAGTTGCAATTGAAGCTCTAATGCATTAATGAGGATAAACAAGTCGAATAAATTGAAGTCGAAAAATGATGGCTTAGCACAAACTACATAGATTAAGACAATATCCGACGGTACCTGTCTAAACTCTGTTTATCTGAAGAATCGGTATGCCAATACTGCAACATGCAACACTAGTTCATGTAAGTAGCTCTACAATACTGACTTGAAATACGGTTTGTGTTGTGTAAGATGAGCTGGAGAAGCTTTTCTAGTAGCTCTCACCACCATTCACCCACCCTCACTTATCCATCGGAAAAAATCAATTCTCATTTTTGGCCTTCAAAAAGTTTGACTCAAAAAATATTGGAGCACTTTTTTTACTACATCTCCTTCACTACGAACAAATCAAATGAACTCGATTACAACAATAATCATTGGTACAACGCGAGCTTGAAAATAACTGAATAACGAAAAGCTCTTCAGGTAATTGCTAGTCAACCAATCGATTATTTTCGAGTCGAGCTCTTGTGTATTTTGTTGATTAAGTTGCGATTAATAGTTTTGATTGTTTATCGATCACATCTCTTATTGTTTTATCCATACTGTTGTCGATTTTGGACTTTTCAGTCCAAGAAAAAATAAAATACTTCGTAATTTTCTGAATAAATACTTCACTTTTGTATGTGAAACGTTCACTTCTTCGCAAACTGGTTTGTACAACAAGACTTTATCGCATTTTTACGTCAAAAATCTCCACATTTAAGATTTGCACCATACTAGAATACTAAAGTTTATATCTTATGTACATCCTACAGAGTTCTTTTTGTTAGTGCGTACTAATGTTAATGAAGAAATTTTGTTTATACATGTGCGCCCATAGCGTCTCATGAGGCGTATATCGCGTATTTCTTCATCATTATTAGCATGGTCCATTATGTTATCTCAGCAGGATTCGTGAATTTTTCTAGCCACGAGTGCGGAAAGCATAGCGAAGAAGGCATGCGGATGAATACATCCTTAACTCAACTACTCGTCAAATAGAAAATAGACTACAGGTTAACAAGAAAAAGCCCTAATCACGACAAAATTTGAGAAAGTTTTTAGGTTGGCTACTAAGCGGCCAAAGATCGCTGAAAACGAGGAAAGATACAATGGCAATTTGAATATAATCACTTTTCGGAAATCTTAATGTTGTAGGCCTGTAAGTCAAAACTTACTTATTATAACAATTTTTTGCATATGGTTTTTTAGAAAATGGAATGAAAAGTTTTCTGACAATAACCTGTAATTTATACAATAAAATTATATCGAGACGTGGATGCAACAGTGACAGTAAAATTAGTTCTGACACATTGGATATGAAAAAAAAATCAGAGTAATGAGTTTCTCATGAAAATCAACTAATATATGTAGGACTGCGCAGCAGAAAACGGCAAAGTTCATATTGAAGTGAATTTAGATTATTTTTCTGAACAGTAAATCACAAGATTTTGATCGAGTGAAATTGAGAAGGTGGAACGCACATTCAATTTGTTTCAACCCATTTTCTCAAAAACTCAACCTGAATTCGAATTTTTCGACAATTTGATTCCGTTTCCGTCTCTATTTTGGATATGTTTTTGATCTCTAATCTCTTTTCGTTTTAAAATGGCTCTCTTCAAAGCCTTCATTATTGTACCCCAATACTTTTCTGTGATTGCTTGTCTCGTAAGCTTGCAAGAATATTCATAGCAATTTCGATGAGATGTGAAGGTCTTTGAGTGTGGGTGTGACGTGTAGTAGAAGTGAAAGTCCACGCACACCCTTCTTGAACTCGCGTATTTGAGATACTCTATCTAATAGTTTTCAAAAAGTCACTAAACTATGTTATTTTCTAGCTGAACTCAAAAATGAACTTGACAAAGATGTAATATAACGAGAACCTAACTTAATTAGAGGTAACATTTCACTAAAAAATATCTACCATCATCAAAGATATAAATCAAATTTGAATTAATACGAGTTACGTCATAGAAAGACGATGATCTGATAAATGACAAATTTGTTAATGGCATATAGTTAATAAAATATGATCTTACAGATTTTTACAATTAGTAAAGATTGTTTTTTTATTAAAAGTACTAAACACACTTTGGCACACAAAAATCCATAAGGCCAAACTCTTTCATAGTTATGAGTAATTTCTCTATTTCGTCAGTCTATGTTATTGATGCTTCTTTGATGTTATTTAGACTTTATCAAACAAAAACATGATTCAACCAACAATCAAACTTTTCGAGCAGCTGTGAACCGTGTTTTTCGCAGTCATACACATAGTAGCGACAACCAATAATGAGACCTTCATCAAAAATCACATTAAAATGGTTTGTCAGTGCGTGTTGAATTCATATATTTTCGTTGCAATAATGTGCGAAAAAAATAAGAAAAAAGATGAATAGAAAATACAATAAATAGGAAGATTACTTTACAGTCTGTTAGATATTTTCCACATGGTTCATATAGATCAAGTTTATGTCGTTGCCGTAAATACCTTCAGCAGTATCTATGCATCAATACAAATAATAAAACACTTTCTGAAAAATAACAAGAGGAGTAATAGTTTATGTTGTAGCTTATTATCTTTATTCTTATTATTTTCTTTTCATTAATGAACAACACCATAGAACTAATATTGATACATTATCTTCATCAAGTTCAAACGATTGAAGTAAAAATGCTGATGAAAATGACTGTTTTACCACTGATGAATAAGATATTGACTGTAATTTTACCAGTGTATTCAAATGTGACGAACATGTCTCAAGCCAATCGTCATTAGTTTTCTTTGTTGTAATCTATGATTAGCAATTTTCTTTTAGAAAGTCGAAAGCAACGGAAAAAGATATTCTAACGACTCTTATCTTGCTGACAACATGACGTGAACATTCGAATAGCTCTATTAAACATTTATAATATTCTATGTCTATTAAGTGTCCAAGGCGCCAAAAAATACTTTCGAATAACTCGTATTTTTCGTCGTAAAATTCTATCAAATAACGAATTAACTATGATTGACATTTTCATTGAGTAAAATCAAACTTATACAAATGTTAGTTACTGAGGTAATATTGAATGTGTTCCACATGAACATTTTCAATATTTTTCTTCACAATTTCTTTACATATTCGTACATAATATTCACATTTTAAATATCACTATCAACCAATATATTCAATTGATACCAGAATGAGAACAATCACAAATAAGATTTATATCTTTACTTATGAATTTTGATAGCATCAATATTGCAAAAAGCGTCAACACTTCTTTTAATGGATTATGAGTTTCGTCATTAATGAAATGGAACTTAATGACAGATTTAAAATAGAAAATGTCATATTTCCTGTTGTACCATCCAACGAAACTGAACAGTCTCGTGATCAAACTTATGCTAAGTTTACTCCTATTTTTCATGAATTAAGACAATTAAAATACGGAAGATATCTTAATTTGACAGCATCAAATAATAAATTTAAACCACTTCAAATCTTCCTGTTGGCAGCATGTGTTGATAACTAGTCACAATCTATTGTTCAAAATTTAAATAATTCTCTTGCTGCATATGGCTGTGGTTGATGCAAGCTGTCTGGTGAGTTTGTTTTCTTTTAGCTCATTGATATGAACATTGCCTGTTCAAAACATAGTGTTACTCTGGAAAAAGATATGTTTTCTTCGATCAATGTATTATCTAAGGAAAATTTGAATCGCCTTATCTTATAGCAGCTAGAGTTTCATACTAAAGGGTCGAAATAAACTAAGCTTTGCCAAATTGCCGCATGCGTCAATTAGCTATATGTATCCTCTTTCATGCTGATCCGTGATGAAAATAACTATCTATTTTAGCGTGCCGAAGCGCAATTACTGTTGTCGTTGCAGTAAAAATATCTCTCTTTCTTTGCGATATTTTTGTCATCATCATCAGAAATATTTTGTCAAAGATTAGTAAGAAGAAAAAAAACAGCTTATTAATAAATATTATTCCCGCATCTAATAAGACTTTAATTGTAACAGAGACAAAAAAAAACACACAGCTGTTTTACTCATTTTTATCGTATTTGAAGCTGCTTGAATACCCAAACTTCGTCCACAGATAACTACAATTTCTCTTGTATTTTTACCAAGTCTCTCAATATACAACAAATATCTTTCTGAATTCATTGTCATCTGTTTTAAACATATTGCAATCATTACTTTTTATAAAATATACAGGGTGGCCCAAAAGTAAAGAAAAATAATGGGTATCCGATAATAACTGATGAAAAACTGTTAATGATATTTTTCATACTTTTTATTGATGTAGAGAGCTAAAATTTTCAGAAATAAAAGGTCTTAATTAGATATATATGTAATAAAAGTTTCAGCTCTCTACATCAATAAAAAGTATAAAAAATATCATTTACAGTTTTTCATCAGTTATTATCGGATACCCATTATTTTTCCTTACTTTTGGGCCAACCTGTACATACTGTTATTCAAGTTCAAATATTGCGAATATGATCAAATCTTTTACATTAAATTTTCCTCTTTCTCCTTATCAAAATACAAATTGTTCATTGTAACATCGTTGCAAGCAAATAGATAAATTTTTCCTATTTCCTTGTCATTTTTGTGTCTTTGAACATGTTTTCTCCTTCTATCTCTCTCCCGTTCTTTCTTACAATGGATGCTTCTCAGAATTTTTTCTTCTCTCTCACCTATATGATCTGATTTGTCTTCAAACACTCATCTGTGTAATTCAAAAGAGTAAGATAATAAGAAAATAGAAGAAAAAGAATTGAACTAGTTGCACTTATTTATTTAAAAAGTTCTTTTTTTCACTTGTGTTTTACATAGGAAATCGAAGAATTTAGCAGAAAAACGTTTGTCATTATGAAAATGATTTCCTCTTCAGAAAACAATTTAAAAAATCTCTTATATAATCTTGCGTCGATGTTAATGACAAGCATCCTCCGTAAACAAACGTTTCACCGGAACAAATACAAATTTGTCTTGAAAATTGGGAACCAATTTTGCCGATGTATAACGATCAAGTAGGAGAAAAAACTTTTGAGAAAATGGAAAAAGAAATTTAAAGTTATTGTTCTTCTCAATATGAAAGTTAATTCGTATCTCTGCTGAATTGTTCTATACCTTAAATTACTCAATGCATAAGTCTTAACTGCCCAAAAAATGATTGGAACAATCTAATTCTTCATCATGACGTTACTATTTTGTGTTTAGCTGAAAGGTTAAAAAAGAGACCATTTTTTTTTCTAAAACATGTTCTAGATGCAGTTATAAATACTTTTATAGTTATTACGCTTGATTGGATGGATAAAAGATGCTAACCATGCATCCCGAGGATGACATTTTCATTGACTTTTCCTAGTATGTATATGAAAAGTTTTTGTTTTTCTAATTGTATCAATGCTTTTAATTACTTAAACTTAAAATTCGAAAAGAAAGAGAAAATTTAGGACCCATTTCTATCTTTAAAAAACTTGGTTGCTTTGGCTTCGTGGTAATTGTTGATATAGTTGTTCGCTAAAAAATGGGATAAGAGAGATTATCATGTATTTTGTAAAGGAAACTGTAGTGTCACCGTTGCACTTAATGGATATCAAAAAGCTACGAGAAGAGTTTGCAAGATCAAAAACATTTCTATTCATAGTATTAACGAATCAATTCGTGATGTTAAAGTAGAATGCTCAACTACACCTGTTTTTAATAGTAAGAAAGTGTCGGAAACACTTACTAGCCAATGAAGATGATACGAATAAGTCACAGCATTCAAATGTCCGTGTGCTTTATAAATGTCACTAGCTCAGAAGAGAAAGAAGAGTGCAAGGATTTTATTTCTTTAGCCCATTCTCCCTAGAGAAATCCCCAGTGAGTCATCAGGGAATCTCAGAAAGTTCCACAGGAAGTTCCTAAGATGCAGCGACTATCTTGGGATATTTCAGGATATCCCTTGTTTTTGGGGAGTCGGGAGGAAACAACATACTCCTTCGAAATTCTCCAGGGAATATGTTTTTCGTTGATTTTGAGTCCATGACAAATCTCAGTGATATTATCATTGATATTTAGTCCCTTGGAAGACAAGTATACTGTAACATAGATAGATAGATAGTTATGCAGTTAGACAGATAGATAGATAGTTAGGTGGCTAGGTAGATAGGTAGCTAGCTATGTATATAGATTCATAGGTAGGCAAATAGGTAGGTAGATAGTTAGCTAGATAGATAGATAGGTAGATAGAGACGTAAATAGATAGTTAGGTAGGTAGATAGGTAAGTATGCCACTCAGTAATGATATCACTGATAAATGTCATGTGGTCACTTATATATGGCTTGGAAAACTACCTTTTACGAGTGACTACAGAATCACTTTTACAATTGCTCTTTGAACAGTCTCTAGGGATCCCCGATAAATTCCTTTCGAAGCCTTCAGGAACTCTCTATCGTGAATCTTCGGGGATTTTTCGGGAGAACTCCCTGGAAATTCGTTAAGGAACTCTTGACCAGGTTTTATCTTCAATGTAAAAAATCGAAATATCTGTATGACTCATTTGGATGTAACTCAATCGCACAAATCTATAGCTTTCTTTTGTATATGTTAATAATTTTCTTAACAAAACTTGTACAAAAGAAAAGCTAGAAAAAACAAAAAAAATTTACGATATACTACAGTTCCGAAATCACATTGATCTTTGGTATCGTCAAAATACTAGCCATCATGATGGTCCAATCAAAAATAATACAAATACTGAAATTTGGGAACAGATTTTTGCCTAACTGGCTCAAGATAAAAATATTGTTTGAGGTTTTAATTAATCTACATTTTAATTTAATTTCTCTACTGTGTGACTTTTACAACAATTTTAAATATGAAAAATGACAAAAAGAGCATCTTATTTTATCTTTTTCACAAGCAACTAATAGTGATCAGTTATTTTAGCAAATGCTATACGTACACTTTCTTTCTACATTGTATTTTATTTGGCGTATCTTTTAAATTCTTTTCTTACACACTCAATGCCTTATTACTAACAAATTCATGTACTTATACGTTTTCTTGCGAAGAATTTTTCTTTCCATGTTGCTCTACAATAGCTTCTTTTTTTCATGTAGATATATATACACATTTGTTTGTTTTTCTGTGTATTTTTTTCTATTCATTTCCACGAGCTGTCTCTTTTTTTCCACTCAACAGCCAACGATCGAATATATGTCTACTAAACTTGATGATTTACATTATAAACTGAAAATATGCAGTTGCATCATTGTTCAATTATTTGTAGAATCAACAACACAAAATAGTCATTCGTATCATCTTGCGCATACTTTTGCTCTAAGTTGACAATTATTAATTATTTTTGTCATTAGCAATCTACTGCTTGTCAACCAGTAAACCATGATCTGCACAAACGACAATTTTATTGTACTTGATAGTACAACTCTTAAAAGATTTTTATGTTGAAAATTTTATACTCTAATGTATATTGATTATCAGATGTCAAATATATGTACAATTAATAAAGTTGATTTTGAACAATACTTTCAGTCATGGATACTACAGTGTGCGTCAAAAGTCTGGTTTTCATTTTTTTCTTTTAAGTCGTGTATTAAAACTACACAACATTAATTTAATTCAATTATATGTTTGAATAGCAGAGATCGAGTACTATATGTATACACCTATTCAATTCGAAAAACTCTTGAATATGAAATACAATAAGAAAAACACACCTCAGTACTAAGAAAAAAATGACATGAAAAACTACAAAATAATATTGTTATTATACGATGCTTCCATGGTCAGTCAACCACGAAAAACAAAAAGTATTCAAAAAAACTTTTTATTTCATCAGACTTTTGACGCGCAATGTTCATTAAGGTCCTGATACCTAGCTTTTCTCCTCAAATATTTGCAGATTATTTTTAGAGCGTCGATTCATTTTGTTTGAACAACAATTGCACATTAAATTGTAGGTATAATTATTATATC